CCAGCAAGATAAGCATCCAGTTTGCTCTTGAAGGTGCTCAATGTAGGTGCTTGAACCACCTCCGATGGCAGGCTGTTCCAGACCTTGGGGGCTCGGACAGTAAAGAAATTCTTCCTTATGTCCAGCCTGAAACCGTCTTGCAGTAGTTTATGAACATTTGTCCTAGTCATCATCCCTTGGGGCGCTCTGGTGAACAAACGTTCCCCCAGATACTGGTGGTCACACCTGATAAACTTATAGGTGGCCATCAGATCACCCCTGAGCCTGTGCTTTTCCAGGCTAAAGAGCCCCAGGGCTCTCAGCCTGTCATCGTAGGGTCTGCTTCCCTGACCTCTGATCATGCGCTCTTCTCTGACTCTCTGGCTTCTTCTCTGGCTCTTATCTGGACTCTCTCAAGCTTCTCCACATCCTTTTTGAATTGTGGAGCCCAAAACTGGATGCAGTACTCCAGCTGCGGCCTCACTAAGGCCGAGTACAAGGGGAAAATGACGTCCCGGGATTTGCTTGAGAAGCATCTATGGATGCAAGCCAGCATTTTGGTCGCTTTACTAGCCGCAGCATCGCACTGCAGGCTCATGTTCATCTTGTGGTCAATGATGACCCCCAAGTCTCTTTCTTCCATAGTGCTAGCCAACATAGCACTGCCGAGCCCATAAGGATGCTGCTGAACCTATAAGGATGATGCGGGTTTTTCTTCCCAAGGTGGAGATCCTTGCATTTATCGGCGTTGAACACCATCAGATTCTCGTCCGCCCACTTGCTGAGCCTGTCCAGGTCAGCCTGGATCACCCGCCTGTCTTCTGGTGTGGATGCTTTGCCCCAAAGTTTGGTGTCATCGGCGAACTTGGCCAGTCCACTTCTGACTCCAGTGTCCACATCATGATTGGCTGTTTCATTTAGAGATGCAAACCCCAGAATTATGAAATCTCAGGCTAGTGGCCAAGCCTCTCCTCAGGCAAGGTACAGAAACTCCATCCTCTGGGACATTCAATACTGGTCAGGCCCTATCACTAGACGGTTCACTGTAGGGGACGGTCTTGCCTTGCAGAAGCCAGGTGCAATCTAATGGGTTTGCTCCAGCTCTCACTTAGTAATACAGCTCTAGATTCCAAGATGATACCATGGAGACCACACTTGCTACCAGCCTTTGAGTAGCCTCTTGTTACAGAGTGGTATTTTGTTAGGTGCGTGTGCCTTGCTCCATCCCTCTCCCTGCCAAATGCTGCTTTCACTGGCATCCTCGCTGACACTGTTCAGATTTCACTGGTAGAAATGAGAGCATGACTTGGCCATGGATGTATGTGTGGTGGGGGGTGGAGGGGGGGGTGGATGCACTTGGCTCCATTTGTGTCCCTTCAAACAGAAACATATTGAAACAGGAGAAGGAAGGTGCACTAAGAATGGCACCTTCCCAACACCCCCCCCAGGACATCTTGCAGGGGCAAGAAAACACAGGACAGAAGTTAAAGCAGGAGTACACCATGCCAGCAGCCCCTGAAGTATGGAGTTGCTTTTTGGACCAAAATATGATAAACAATGACAGTTACCATATGAATACAGCTACAAGGCATCATGCCGTGTCTACCTCATCACCTCATGATGTTCAATGAAACTAAGCATCACAGACATCCTCTCATGTGTATATGCTCTTGGTCTTTGTGCTGTTCTGTCCTTCTGGGTGGGTTTCTCTCTCTCTGCCTCCCTCTGTTTGTGTGAAAGAGACTTTCCCCCTTTCTATCCTTGTAGGTGTTTTGCTGTATGCTTGTGTGTGTGGGCATGTCTGATTGTGTTACTCTGGATATACCTATTGGACAGTGCTAGGAGCCATGAAGACTCTACCTTCCCGCTTTCCCTAATTTTTGCACATCACATATCAAAAATTGTCAGGTAGGCACTTCCTGGGGTATGCCCAGCACCACTACCTGTCGGGTGGCTACCTGTCATGTTTTAGCATGGGGCATGTTTCTATGTTGTCCTGTGTGTTCCTCTCAATCTGTGCATTTCTCCTCACTGTCCATTGTTGGGTGTTTCTGTCTCCCCATAGGTGTGTCTGTCTCTTGTGCGTGTGCATTCCCGCCCCTTGGGTTTTTCTGCCATTGTGGTTATTAGACAGTCTTCTCTCTGTTTCTCTGTGTCCCTTTTTCTCTCCCTGCTCTGTGTGTGTATGATCTTCCCTGGTATCTCACTGGACCTTTTGCCTCTGTCCCTCCATGTGTGTCTCACTCTCTTTCTATGTGTATGTGCAAACTTGCATCTGTCCCTTGTAGCATGTGTTGTGTCTCTGTCTTTCTGTCTGTCCTGCCATCTGCCTGTGTATCTGTCTCTCTGTGAGACTCTCTCTCCTTGTGTTTCTCTGTCTGCTCATCTGTCATATAGATAATCTTAGTAGCTTTATGTATTATGTTTAGATCTGTGTGTGTGAGAATATCTCTGTCACTGTGTGATCTCTGTGTGTGTGCGCCTATCAGTGTGTGTGACTAAGTCTGTGGTTTTTTTCTTATTGTCTTTTTCTCTCTCACACACACACATATTCATCACTAACTGTGGTATCTATGGGACAGAAATCATCCTCTCCACCCATCTCTGGGATCCATGTTTAAAGCATTCCTGGCATCCATGGCTTTCTCCTTTCCTATGTGATGCACAGCCTTCATGGCACATCCTCCTCCCTTTTATATCCTCAGAGATCCCTCCGTGGGGTGACAGATCTTCATGTTAATGGGACCAGGCCAGGGCCTTGCTTTTCACACACCTTTAGTCTCGAGCTGCATTAACTTTTCATACATGTTCCACACTCTTCCACACTGAGGACCCCCTTTTAAAAGTTAATCTATTTAGGAGCTGATGAAGAGCTGAAATAGGCTGTGTAGGGTTGTCAGGGATCCTCCTTTGTTGGAGGATTTTAAAGACAGGTTAGACAAACATCCATCAGGGAGGGTCTTGGTCTTGCTGAGCCTGACTCAGTACAGAGGTTTGGTCTGGGTGATTTCTTGAGATCTCTTCCCACCCTACATTTCTGTAATTCTATGAATCCTAGATATAAACTTCCAGAGAATTAATGGGGACAACATTGGGCCTGGGATTAGGTTAAGACACATAAGTCTCTGTAGACATACTTGGCCCCTGGCAGACCTCAAGAGATTGTTCTGCGTATTTCAGGGGAGCATAGGGTTTGCTTCGCAGAGCCAGTCAATCTGGAGAAAGCTCCACACAGGATTTCCCTCCTTTTAGCAGGTCCCTTCTTAAGGATGTTTCTATAGAAGGGAGTGATCTGCTTCCCAGTGAGCTCTTTCACAGGCCAAAACTATTGTCCTAGCTCTTTGAACTTCTGCTTTACTCCAGTGCTTTCAGTAAGACATCTCCACATCAAGGTCTAAAATGGCACACTATATGTCTTAGATGAAACCAGGCCCCTTTGAACTCAATAGCAGAAAGCCCACTGATTTCAGTGGAAACAGGATTTCACCCTGTGAATTTACATAGGGCCAATAGGTTTCCCTGGTACAAAGTTCTAGCCAGATGGTATTCAACAAGCAAAACATTTAAATCATTGTGCAAAGGTAGAACTAATCTCTCAGATCACCATCAGCCAGTAAAAGCATGGGGATCCAATTTACATGTATGCATACATGCATGCACACTTGCACATGTGTGCACACAGGGCACTATCAGCCCCAGCTGCCCACTTTAGCATGGGGTTTGTTACTGTCCATTTGTAACCAGATGGGAGGCTGAAATGCAGAGCAAAGGTCCCAGCTGAGGGATGGGAAGGGAGGAGCACTGCAGGCAGGCTGAGAACACCACAATGTAAACAAGAACATTTTCAGCCTGGCTTCTAAGGCTCCTTCTTCCTTTATGGAGACAATATGAAACATTAAATCACCCTCAGGTCATATTCTGTCCCTGTTGAGTACATGATGACATCTCACTTTGCAGGAAGTCCCATTGAAATCAGCAGCATTTCCTGCCAGGTGAGAAACATATTGATTGTAGGGGCCTCAGAATCTGACTGAAAGAGCCCCACTCTGCCACCCTAACTTCACATAAAGTCATCAACAGGACTTTCCACAGAGTGAGGTGTTATGTGGCATAAGCAAAAGGGACAGAAACTGGTCCTAAATCCTTGCTGGCACAATGAGGAAGCCTGGGCATAGGAGGCACAGGGATAACTAGGGATTCAAAACAACCTTGTGGTGCAGGTAAAAGGGAGGCACACTCCCACTTAGGAGCAGATTCCCTGCAAAACCTTTGGACGGGTACATAAGGGATTCCCCGAGCCTCCCTCTGAGTACTAGCTCTTCAAGGAAAATGATGAAAGCTTCATCCCTCTGGAGTAAGTTAAAAATGGCCTGGAAAAAGGACTGGGAAATATTCTGTAAGGAATATCCCTACATTAGTGGGGCGCTGTCGGGGGAATGCAGGTGGGGGGATAGACAGGGTTGAAGGAGACATGGGATGTCAGTCCTCTGTGCATTCACAAAATGTCCATCCATGTGTATTCACCTCAGATTGCCACCACAGTCACAATTTATCACAGGAAATCTGGCACCAAGAGCAGGGAGAAGCCAGAGAGGAGAGGGCAAGGAAGTCCATACACACCAACACATGCATGGCCACACACCCACCCCCAATTCCCAGAACCAGACATTCATGGCTTGCCAGACGGGGCTTGCTTTGGTAAATCAGAACCTATCTCTGGGTTTAATTGGCTGCATTATTAAAGTGCAATGAAACCTCCCGCCTTGGTATGCTTCTGGGAAACCCATAGAGAGGAGCATGGGCAGCGCGTGGGTATGGGGGCTAGAGGAGCGGGGAGATCAACGGAAGATCTCGGGTCTGGAAGGGGCCTTCTGAGCCACTGAGTCTGCTTCCCTCCATTCCCAGGACTTCTCTGTCCAACAAGTCCACAAGGTGGTTTACCCCAGCCCGATGGGCCCAAAGGGAAGCAGGGGAAGGAGGAAGCGGGCAGCTGGGTTGGGTGGCGGGGCTGGGCGCCTCACCTCTATCTTGTCGATCCTGTCCTTCAGCGCCCTGACAGCCTCCTCCAGCTCCTGGACCATGGTGGAGGAGTCCCAGGGCAGGTCGCCCATGGTTTCCTTGTGGGGCCCCCCCCAGAGAGAGGCGCTGTCCTGGAAACTAAGTTCCAGGCCGCTCTCGCACTGGCTCAGCTTGCCCGACAGCTCGCGGATGGTCTCCTGGTCCAGCAGGATCTGGTCTTTCTGCTGCAGCGCCGTCTGCCTCAGCTGCTCGGCCGTGCTCTGCAGGAAGAAGAGGTCGTCGGCGCCGGGCAAGGGCGAGTCGCCCTGCGGCGGGCTCTCGGAGGGGCACTCCACCGCCAGCGGCGTGCACAGGAACCGGCTGAAGAGCTGCGGGTGCTGGTGGTGCCGCTGGGAGTGGTGGGGCCGGGCGCCGGGCGGCAGGTCCAGCAGCGAGTCCTCGGGCGAGCCGCCGCCGAGCGCGGCTTCTCCAGCACCGTGGAGAGCTCCGCCGGCGCTGGCCGTGGGGTGGATGCTCGCGATGATGCAGATGATGGCCCCGAGGAACGCGAGCATCCCTGCGGCCAGCAGCACGGCCAGGAACTTCAGGGTGGCGGCGGCGGGAGCCCGGGCCGGGAGAAACTGCCCCGCCTGGGCACGGGGCGGGCTGGCACTGCCCGCGGCTCAGCCCCAGAGGCAGCGAGCGGGAGGCGGCGGCTGGGGCACGGGGAGCCCGGGAGGTGCCACCAGCTTCTGGCTGCCTCTTGCAAGCTGCCGCCGCTGCTTATATGCGGGGCGGGGAGCGCGTCACCAGCCTTCCCTCACCCTTTCGGCGCCGCACCCTCTGCCAGGGGACGGGGAGCAGCACGCCGCTGCCTTTGCTGCCCTCCCGCCACCCTCCGATCTCTCCTGGTGCCCCCCTGCGCCACGTGCCCTCAACACCCGCAGCAAAGACGGGAGGGTGCGTGTCCTGGGCCCCGCGTGTTACACACGTCGCGCAACGGACCGGGCAGTGGCGCAATAAATGTACACTGCCCGCGCGCCCAGAGTAAGGTCAGGCCATAGAAATGGCTGTCCAGCTACAGCAAGAGTCGACCTGCTAGAAAGTGAAGGCCTAAAAATGTGTGACAGCTCTATAGCTGGCTTCCAGCCTAAAAACATGTAACAGGTCTGTAGCTGGTTTCCAGCCAGCCTTCGTTTGAATGTGTGGCAGAGCCCTGCAGCTGACTGCTTTAAGCCAGCTCCCCTCGGGAAGGGTTCTCCACCCAGCTGCACTCAAGGCCTCCCCTCAGGAAATACCGGCTCTTCCCTTTCACTCGGTTTTTTTTGACTGCGGAAAAATACCAGAGCAAGTCGTCCATGACAAAGAGCTCAGGGGGTCCACAGCAGGGCACAGCTGTCTCCACACCATGGATTCCTATTGGAAATCTCTGGGTTTCTTGTGTGAATCTTGGGTAGGTGTCTGCACACCTCTCAGTGCTAACACTGTGCACCACACCCGCTGTCCCCTTACAAGGATCTCACAGCACCTCTGGGTGAGAGTCACTACTCTAAACAAAGAGGTGGAGATGGGGAATCCCAGTAAGAAGCATTGAGAACCAATCCCACTTTCCAGAGCTGGTCAGCAAGTCCCTGCTTCTCCTCTGTTTTTATGCTCCTCATGTCAGACAGGAGGGACGTTTCTTTTTTCCCTCTGGGAGATGTTGGACATCCCAAAACAGTAAGCACAACAGTGGGCCTGTTATGGCTGCTGTCAGGCCTGTGAGATTCCTCTAGGGCAGGGCTGTTTAGCTGCTAGGGCAGGGGTGGGCAATTATTTCGGGCAGAGGGCCGCTTACTGAGCTTTGACAAGCCATCGAGGGCTGCATGACAGGCAGCCAGGGGCAGATATATATTAATTTTCTAAACTTTTTAGGGGACCCGTGGGCCAGATAGAGTGGCCTTGTGGGCCATATCTGGCCTGCGGGCCGCATTTTACCCACCCCTGTGCTAGGGGCTGCACAGCCCACCAGACACACCAGTGGGGGCCATACAGCATGGGGGACAGATCAGCAGGGGCCACAGGCCCCCCCAGGCTGCGTGCTGCACATGAGCTAGCAGGTGCTCCACCATCCTGCTGCACTAAGCATGGATGGATGCTCCCACATGCAAGGGGGCAGGCATTCTGCACAGCACAGTGCTCCATATGACCAGCAGCTCCCTGCAGGCTTCCCCATGGCACTGTTACACAGGCTTTCCATGCTTCCAGCTGACTCAGCACTACAGGGCTGAGTCAGGCAGTGGAAGCTGAAGGAAAGAGGAAAGCCCCAAGCCCCTAGCTGCTGCTTCTTGCTGATGGAGCCTGGGGGTTACATGTTAACCCCTTGTGGGCCATGTGGGACACAGACTGCCAGTTGGACATCTCTGCTCTAGGACACTGATTCTCAGCCAGGGTACCACAGCACCCTGAGATCCTTTTAAGGGTGCAATGCAATACCACACAATGTTAGCCCTGCAAGGTGTGCAGACATGAACCACAAAATAAACCCAGAGATTTTAAATAGAAATTGGCAGCATCCAGAACACTCTGAGCTGCTGTGGTCTTTTTTTTAGTTCTTTATAACAGAAGAAATGATCTATTATTTTTCTGTAGTAAAAAAATGAGTAAAAATTAAGAGCTGGCATTTTTTCAAGAGGTGCCTTGAGTCCCAAAATGTTGAGAGCCACTGCTCTAGGGGACAAAAGTAAATGCATGCCAGGTAAACAGCTCTAGCCATACAGATGAAGCAGAAGTATAGCTGGTCTCAAGCTCCCAGTGCTGCTGGAATGCCATGCATGCTGGGATGGTAGAGTGACTAAGGCATCTTGTTGTGGCTCTGGAGGGGCTGATTCAAGCTCTGGACTCATGCTAGTGGCTCCCTTCAACAGTTAATAGTACTTGGCCATTCAGATGGGGAAGTCAGCAGCTGCCAGATGTGACGCTGGCTATGTTACTCCCTTGTGTGTCCTCGGCTGCAAAAACTGATGAGCCTTAACCACACTAACCTGATGGGCTACTTGGCTCAAGAGGGCCTTTACCCAAAGACAATGATACAAGATAATAAAAGCAGCCCACAGGGAGCTCTTTCCAGGAACAGAGGGATATGTCAAAGTGGAGCCTCTGGACCTAAGCCAAAGACCAGTGCAGTCACCAGAAAGACTTCCATTGATTGCAATGGTTTTGGATCAGGCTGTAGATTGAAGGGGCGGGTGGCAGAGAGAGGGAAATGTCCTCTGTGCATGTGTTTGTGTCAGCCTGATTATAGATGGAACATGTGACTGTTACATGGGAGGAGGATTACATGTGTGAAGGGTGTGCTTGAGTGTTGGAGCATGATGGGCTCTGTCACTAGCTGTGTGGCTCTTGGTTTTATGAGACATCCTCTTGTCAGCTGCTTGTTGTGCTGTACCTTTCTGCCATGCAGCAGTGTAGGCACCTCTGCTTTAACCATCTCACACTGATTGAACAACACTAACTTGCCACATTGTTTATGTCACTTCTGAATTTAGCCCATTTATCTGATTGAGCTTTTTTCAGTGAAGGCCCCATAAACAGTAACAGAGAGAGGCCAAGAAGCCAAAAAAAAAAAAAAAACCCATCATAAAATGACCTCCAGCTGGATGTTGTAAACCTGCCCTTCTCTATATTCTTCCCACACTGATCATGCTTTTCAAGGAAATTAAATCTTCCTGAGTTCAAATATAAATATCCCCACAACTCTGGGAACACTGAGGCAAAGAAGTTATCAGAATTCCCAACAGAAAATGTGTTAAACCAATTACTTTCACATGGCAACAGGGAGGAAGAAAATGACATTTTCAATTCTTCTACCAAAGGAATCACTTCACTGGCCTTCGCTGTAGCAAAATTGCTTTGACTTTAACACTAGCAAGGGGAAGAGAAAAAAATGCAAGGACAACAAAGAAGCTTTTGGTGTTCTGTTTGTTTTTGCAGGGACTTAACTTCCAAGGCAAGATTAAAGTACCTTAAATTTCTCCACACTGACCAAAGAGAGGCCCTTTTTGAAGTCTTTAAGTGTGTCCTTGAAAAGTTCCCTGAAGGGGGATCTCAAGGAAGATGGGATAATCATTCATAAGCATCTAATAGGTGTTAAACCTCCAGTGAAGAAGGCATTGTTACAGGTGTTCCACTTTCATCTGAAAATGAAAGAGGCTGGAAATCTTTTGAGATGTGTGTTCTCTCCTCCTTGTTCCTTCTGGTTTTAGCTGATCCAGAAATGCCTTGTGAGCAGTCTTTCCCCATTCTACTTTAATATTCCTGCCTCTGGCTGAAACTAGAACACACACAGCTGGGCTGTAGGAAACTTAGCTAGAAGTAATGGGATGAAAACTCAGCAAAGGTAACATTGCAGCTGATTCTGAAGAAATGTTTTGTAATGGTTTGATCTATTAGGCTGTGAACAATCTCCCCAGGGAAGTGATAGGAGCCTAGTGACTTGAGCCATTTAAAAATGAATTGGACAGATGACAAAAGGAACTACTGCAGGGAACAGATCTGCCTAGCCAGAGGTAGGGAAGTGCAGAGAAGGAGTGACTTACTGTAAAAAGCCATTTCTCTAACCTCCGTGGTACAGAAAGCAGATGTGAACAAGTGGTCTCCTCCTTGGAGGAAAGCTGTCTAGGCAACTTTGCTGAGAATTTCAGACTAAGAAGTGTTTTCTTGGAGGTATAAAGAGACCTGGTGATATGTTGAGGACAGTATCCCTATATTAATGTCTCCCTTCTAATAGTCTGAATCATAGGAAAGCAGGGCGAGAAGGGGTCTTATGTGGTCATCTAGTCCAGCCCCCTGCCCAAAGCAGGATTATCCCTGTCTAGTGTCCATCCCAGTCAAGCCTCTGTCTACCCTGCTCTTGAAAACTTCCAAGGGTGGAGATTCCACAGTTTCTCTAGGCAGCCTGTTCCAATGCTTGACTAACCTCATAGTCAGAAAGCTTAAGTATCACTTAAATATGTCTTTGGCACCTTCATGTTTGACTACTGATCCCTTACATAGTTTTTTCTACCCTACACTACATGCACTGCCTCATTCCACACACTTCTGAAATCAGACTATAAGTAGCAAGTGCAGATGGCACAGCTATTTCATCCAAATGTTTTTTAGATATCCAATGAGCATATTCAGACACTGGCTCCTTCTACAGGTTTAGATGGCCATTATTTTGCTCTTGCACTCATACCTAATGTTACCCAGAGAAGACTTGTTTTCTGAGGCTGAGAAATAAAACATGACTCCCATTACTGGGGACCTCTACCTCAGTAATAGGCACTCTTCTCATTGTTTTCCCTTGATACAAAAGCTTTGCAAATAGTGATTACTGTTAATAACCAACCCTGTTACTACAACCACATTGTACCCTCTTTTCCCTTCCCAGACAGACTGATATCACCAATATGCTGCTACACAAACAAGGAAGGAAGACAAAGGGGAGATGTGGATGGAAACCAAATGTAATTGATTTTCAGCTTGATAATAACAGGAAATCATCTCCTAGCTGGCAAATGGGTGAGAATTGTGCCTGTGTGTGTGTGCGCACGCATAAAAATAGCTCTAGGACTGGAAATGAAACACCACCAAAGACTACATCTTCAGTACCATAAGCAATAAGCCCCCAGGCTTTTTTTTTTTACTGGATATAACAGAATGAGGAGGCACAGACACCTCCTCAGGGCCAAAATTATACAGATTGTGTTATCTTAGAAACACGGAGGGGAGGGGAAACACTCTGAGCTCTGTCCAGAACACAGCCTAGCCATGGTGGTTCTTCCTAGCCATGGTGGTTGCTCCCTGTATTGTACTGTGCCTGTTCATTCACAACAGTTGTTAGGCCAGATGAAGCAAGAGTTCCCCCTTGTCTAATACCACATTTCAAATACCAGCCAGTTCTCATTGCTTCAAAGCCCTGGTGTTGGGAGTATGACTAGGACACAGACAGTTAGGACTTGACCCCAGAGGAACCGGTAACAGACACAGTCAGGGAAGCAAGGGTCCCCAACTAGAGTCAGAGGATCAACAGGGGATGAGTCAGAAAGCCAAAGTTTGTAAGGGACCAAGACCCAAGATAGAACTAAAAGTCAGGGAGTCCAGAGCAGGCAGCTGTAGCTGTCCAGGACCAGGACACAGACAATCACCAAAAAGAAGCTACAAGCCAGGAGTTAGCTGTCAGAGGGCAGGGGGCTGGATTAGCATCTGGACCAAAGGGGTCAAGAACCAGCAAGTCAGTCTGGAGGCAAGAGACAGTAGTCAGGAATCAGAGTAAAGTCAGGACACCAACAAGCAGGATGCAAGAAACTAGAAACATTGAGTCAACAACCCAAGGCCAAAGAAACATCTGTTCCATTGAGTATTCCCCTGGACCACCCACCCATGCAGACAACTGGGGCCAGGTGGTAGAAATTAGGTCACTAGCAGCCAGGTCCACTCAGGTAACCAGGGGCAGCTGGGGGCAGTTTAGCCTGCCTGCTGCCCTCACTCCTGACATAAGGAAAGACCCTGCCTCTGAAATAGTTCATATGGAAAGTTTCTATCTAATCCCATCAGTTACCAATTGGCTCAGTCCTGAAAGCGTGAGCCACGGATGTTTATGTCACAGGGATGTTTATGAGAGCAGAGATGAGAATTGACTCACAGATCCTAGCCTGGGGGTTGGCTTGCCTTGCCAAAAGGCAGGATGTGCTTGTACCTGTTTCCTGCTACTCTCTAGCTCTCTGTTATTATCATCAGTTACATGTTTACTGCCAGCTCAGCCCCCTGTCCCCTTTGGCCACATCATAAAGAATGTCTCTTTCTTTGTGGTTTACACCCTTCAGATATACTTGCAGAGAGCTGATCTCTGTTGTGTCAGCAAAGTTTTCACCATCTTTCTGCTGCTGGTAATACATCTCTACTGATGAAAAAACAAACAAGGGATGTATTCTTGGTGCCAAAGAAGCACAGGCAGCAGTCATCAGTTTTCAAAGGAAACATGAAATGGCTGTGATCCTGAGAGGAAGGGCAAGAAGGATGTTGCCAAACAAAATGAATCCGAGGAGAATGAAGGGGAGAGGGGACCGTGGAATGGTAATCAGGGCAAGGAGGAGAAAGGAGAGGCAGGGAATAGTCTGGAAATATCTGTGTAAAGACAAGAGCAAAAGGGTGAGTTGTGTAGGAGATGTTAAAAGCCTGAAAAAAGAGAGATGAGGGAAACTACAGGGAAACAAATGAAAGGGAACATGGAAAGGAAGGGAAAGACTGAAGACAGATGAGACTGTACAAGTCCATGGGGCCAGATGGGATGCACCCGAGGGTGCTGAGGGATTTGGCCGATGTGATTGAAGAGCCACTGGCCATCACCTTTGAAAATTCATGGTGATTGGGAGAGGTCCCAGATGATTGGAAAAGGGCAAATATAGTGCCCATCTTTAAGAAAGGGAAGGAGGAGGATCCAGAGAACTACAGACTTGTCAGCCTCACCTCAGTCTGTGGAAAAATCATGGAGCCAGGTCCTCAAGGAATTCATTTCCAAGCACTTGGAGGAGAAAAAGATGATTACGAACAGTCAGCATGGATTCACCAAGGACAAATCATGCCTAACCAACCTTGATTGCCTTCTATGATGAGATGACTGGCTCTGGGGATGTAGGGAGACCAGTAGATGTTATATACCTTTATCAAGGCTTTTGATACAGTCTCCCACAACATTCTCACAAGCAAGCTAAGGAAGTATGGGTTGGATGAATGGACTGTAAGGTGGATAGAAAACTGGATGGATTGTTGGGCTCAGAGGGTAGTAATCAATGGCTTGATGTCTAGTTGGTAGCCAATATCAAATGGAGTGCCCCAGGCAGAGCCGACCCAAGCAGGGTGTGGGGCCTGGAGCAAATCAGAGGGGTGGGGGGAGGTAGCAAGTGGCCGGATGAGAAGCTGGCACTGGTGGCATGGAGTGGCCGCAGCCGCTCCACCTGGCTCTGTGGGGCCCCCCAAATGGGGGGCCCGGGGCAGTCACCCTGATTCGCCTACCCCTAGGGACAGCTCTGGCCCCAAGGGTCAGTTCTGGGACTGGTTTTGTTCAATATCATCATCAACAACCTGGAAGATGGCATAGAGTACACGCTCAGCAAGTCTGCAGATGACACTAAGCTGGGGGGAGTAGTAGATATGCTGGAGGGTAGGGCTAGGGTTCAGAGTGACCTTGACAAATTGGAGGATGGGGACAAAAGGAATCCCATGAGGTTCAACAAGGACAAGTACAAAGTCCTGCACTTAGGACCGAACAATCCCATGCACCAGGACAGGCTGGGGGCTGACTGACTGGGCAGCAGCTCTGCAGAAAAGGCCCTGGGGGTAACAGTGGGCAGTAAACTGAATATAAGCCAAGTGTGCCCTTGTTGCCAAGAAGGCTAACACCATACTAGGCTGCATGGGTTGGAGTGTTGCCAGCAGATCAAGCAAAGTGATTATTCCGCTCTGTTCAGCATTGATGAAGCCACACGTGGAGCATTGTGTCTGGTTTTGGGCCCCTCACTACAGAAAGGATGTGGACAAATTGGAGAGAGTCCAGTGGAGGGCAATGAAAATGGTTAGGAGGCTGGGACACATGACTTCTGAGGAGAGGCTGAGGAAACTCGGCTTATTTAATTTGGAGAAGAGATGACTGAGAGGGGACTTAATAGCAGCCTTCAACTACCTGAAAGAGGATGGAGCTAGACTGTTCTCAGTGGTGGCAGATGACAGAACAAGGCCCAATGGTTTCAAGTTGCAACAAGAGAGGTTTAGGTTGGATATTAGGAAAAAAAACCTTCTCACTTGGAGGGTAGTAAAACACTGGAACAGGTTTCCCAGAGAGGTTGTGCAATCTCCATCCTTGGAGGTTTTAAGACCCAGCTAGAGAAAGCCTTGCCTGGGATGATCTAGCTGGGGCTGGTCCTGCTTTGAGCAGGGGGTTGGACTAGATGACATCCTGAGGTTCCTTCCAACCCTCATTTTCTATGATTCTATGAAATAGCTACAAGAAGAGAAAAGCTAAAAAATGGTCAACATAGTTAAAGGCTGAGAAAAGCTACAACGCGTAGTATTTTGGAAAAGGGGAGATGAGCAGCAAGTGCTGGGCTGACTGCAGTTGCTGGTAGCAACAGAAATACTATCAGCAGCATTGGAGCACAAGGGAAAGACATCAGTATTTATAATTTTATATTTCAAACACCGGGAGGTGGATCTTTCCTGACCTCAGCTGATGATCAGTTTGTATTGCTGTGAAGCATGGAGGCCTTTAATTCAATGCTAGGTAGGGTCACTGCAGAAGCTACTTCAAGTTATATAGACACCTAGCGCTCTTTGTCAAAGTCTACTAAATATCCGCCTCCATGTCCTGTAGCTGTAAGTCCCATGTGTTAATTTTGTTCTGAGGGAGGGTGAGGAGGAACATTCTGTTACATTTTAAATCCATCATTTTATTTCACCAAGTGTCCTTATCATTCCTGCATAAATAGAAGACAAACGTGCTTTGGAAAGGAATAAATGAAAATGACCAAGGGACATTTAATTGTAAACAACCCAAATTTCCATCTGGTGTAGGAGTTCCAACGTGGGCAGGCCAATTACTACCAGCAGAGGGTCAGGCCTATTATTTTAAAAGCCAGTGCTGAGCAAACGTGACAGCAGTGAGCATAGAAGTTAGTGGGATCCCTACATTCTCCAATAGTGTCTATTAGTATAGTTTTACTAGTATAACTATTGTCATTAGGGATATAAGAAGTTTGCTGACAACAGAAGCCCTTAGTATTGATGTGTCTATACCTAGAGTGCTCAACAGAGGGCCTGTGGGCTGGATTTGGTCAGTGAAGTCATGTCATCCAGCCTGTAGGGCTCCACAAAGAGGTCCAGAAATTTGGTTGTGGAGAAGTGGTGGTAGTGTTAATTGCTGCTCCCCTTCTGCCAAATTTCCAGATCCATGGGGAGCCCCAGAAGCTGGATAACATGGTCCTGTATACAAAATGGTGCCAGCGTCTGACTGGATCTAGGAGCACACTCAGGGTCAGACTGATACAAGACCGAGCTGGTGTACAGCTAGGTTGGGCCAGTGCCTGGGTGGATCCAGGTGCACAACCTGATCGGGCTGGCATGTGGCTGGATCTGGGTTTGGGGTACTGGGCCCATGGACCAATCCCACATTGCTCAGCCCAGAAGGTTGGGCCCAGCAAGGTTGGTCACTGCTGGGCTATACCATCACATTGGTATAGCTTATGTCTGTTTTTAAACTGGAATAAACCATGATAGTACAAGGGGTTTTATACTGGTTTAACTGTATAAATACAACAGGAAATGGTTTGCCTATCTGACTGTATTAGGATGGTTAAAGGAGAGAGATTTAAGTGTAGACAATGCACCTGCAACAGGGACCCCCTCCCCATTACTTGAGTACTGAAGGAGGACTGGGTGAATGGAATACCTACTTCTGAAAATGCCCACACCAGAGATTATACCATATTTGCTCGCATGCCATGCCCCACAATAATGCACCTTGTTCTTGAAAGACAGAATGAAGAAAAAAAAGATTTTTCCAGACTCTTACCTGCCACCACATGGTGTCAACATAGATAAATGCTGTCCACTTGGAGGAGGTGCAGAGTTTATTCCTCAGCATCACTCAGCCTCTCTGTGCAGCTCCATAGCTATAAGTTTATCTTTATCTTAGGTACTGCAGAATTTCCGGTAGTTCTTGACTGAATACACTCTGCCTCCCCTCCATGCGGCTAGGAGCCCAGCACAGAGGCCAGCGCAGCCTCCAGCAACCATTCCAGTATGCCCAGGCTTCCATCCTGACACAGAAATCAGTTTCCTTGTTTAAGACACACACCACAATTTTGGAGAGGTTTTTTTTTGTGAACAGGTGTATGTGGTATGTGAGTAAGTAAAGTAATAGTTGGAGAGCCAGAAGCAAGAGTCTTTTGTGGTCTGGCTATTGAAGGGGCCAAAGTCCACAGCAGAAGGCCAGGGAGATTGTTGATGCAGGGTGACAAGGGCTTGCAGAGCAGAAGGCTGGAGAGGCTACAGAGATAAGACAGCAGAGGCTGAGAGACTGAGAAGGTGTGCCAGACCATAAGCAATTACAAGATCCTTAAATTATGAAGGACATTTTGGATGTGATGTACCAGATGTGAAACTGCTTAGGAATAGTAGTTGAGGCAAAAAGATGGCTGACTCGTGTGGTTCAGGCTGGGGAACTAGACACCAACCTACAACCACCCTCCTCAGTGAGGATAGGAACTGAAGAGAGGAGAAATGTTCTGCTCTCTTACAAGCCATGGAAAGGCAGCCTATAGTACCAACAAGAGTCCATGCTAACATAGCCTGGCTAGAGCACTGTGAAGCAGCCGTGGTCTGAACACAGTCCTCTCTTTTTGTCCCAAGATAATCCTGGTTTCTGTAAGCATGCACCACCATCTTTCCTGGTTTAGCAAGTGGATAGGGGAGGCTCAAGCACAGCCCTCCTGGATGTGGTATACATGTGACCTATAGCAGAGGCTTTCAACCTTATTTAATAAGTGTACCCCTGGCAGCCCCCTTTTTAATAAGTATACCCCTGGGTGGAGGGTGGCGAGTGGCTAGACACCAAGTGGGGGGGGGGC